CCCCGGCAAGGATTCGGGCCCCACGCGGAGCCCTGCTCCTCTACGCCTCGTGCCCTCCTACCCCCGGCCCCACCCCCCACCCCGCCCCCGGCCCCGCGCCGCACCCCTCTCGATTTACGTCTAGCTTCTTGCTCCGCCAGGCCCCGCCCTGAGGCTGGCCTCTCCCCGTCAAACCCCGCCCCGCCAGCTCTCGGTCCCGCCCCGAGACCAGCCCCGCCAGCTCCACGCTGAACCCCGCCCCGCGCTCCTACCGCGAGAAGGGTGGGTGCTGGGGACTGTGGGCCAGGAACAGAAGCCCCGGAACCTGACCGGAGCAAGGTCCCGGGGCGGGGTTCGTGCGCGGCCGAGGCCACGACTGCAGCCGGGCATCCGATATGCAGTGGGCGCCGACGCGTCTGAGCCAGTTGGGGGCGCCTCCGACCCTCTCGCCCCTGCCGGGCGGCCCGTGCGCACGTGGCTCGAGAGGCGGCCAGGCCGAAGGCTCTTCGTTCAGCTGCTAACGGGTTGCTCTTCCCTCAGCGGAAAGCCACAGGACGCTGGGGTTGTCGGCCGGCTCGGTCACCCGCGGACGCCCGCCCTCACAAAGCGCCTGTGTTCCTGAATGTTTCGTTGCAAACGAGAAGCCTTCACCCCAACTAAAACCACACACAACGATGACAGTGAATTTTACAAACTGTCTGAACTCAGAATTCCCATGTGGAGCCCAAACCGAGCAGCCTTTCTCTGTAATGAGGAATGACCTTTTCGACCTTGGATTATTTAACGCTGTTGAACACTGGCACCACCTAAACATAAATACAAGGCATTTCCTGAGAGTGTGTCTGTGATTTCCAGGAGTTTAATTTCATAAGCTGCTCTGCCTATCCCTTTATAAAATATGCTGACCCATATAGAATTATTCTGGAGTGCCACTTCTCAGAGTCTGGGAGAACAATGGGAGTTTGTACAAGAACCTCGATGGGACATTTTTTTACACAAATAACCTAATGATGGAATTAAATGCTTTTAGATTTTGTCTGTGAGCACTTTATGTTGAAACATCTTGCAGAGAAACTTGAGGTTTACGGTGTAAAGAGGTGAAAATTACAGACCATGAAGAGGAATTAGGAAGCCAGAGCTGGATAGGGCTTTAGTCTGCGCTCTAGCCTTGCCCAACAGCTCAGAAAACTAGGCCAAGAATTGCCCCAGCTCCCACCAACGGCCATTTGGGGGCAGCTAAAGGGATGCTCTGCTTCATCTTCTTTGTTCCAGTTTTTCATGGTTTTCAAGATACAGAGCTGGACTTTTGAAAATACATAAGACTGTGTTCTGAATGCTTTACTCTGAAATTAATGCATTCATTTGTTGATCTTCATGGCAGGTTTTCGTTAGAGATCCCTTCCAACACCAAGCAAAATTAGGAAGTTACAAAATTTCTCTTTGGTGTCTTCTTAGCTCCCCTTTCTGAACACATCGTGCTACCGTCTGTCCTGGACCAATCTAGGAGCTCAATTACATCTTGAGATAAGCTCTTATGGACCTCAGCCTATCTAAACATCTAGAGAAAAAGACTTCATAACTTCATTGCTTAACTTCCAGATATCTTAAGGTAGAATCATGTGGTTTTTTTTACCAGAATGAAGTTTGGAGCCAGCCAGATTTTCCTAAGTCAAAATATTGGCCTCATTTCTTCCATGCTATGTGGATTTGAGTAAGTTACAAATAACCTTCTTTGCCTCAGTTTTAATTGCTCCTCAAAAAATAGGGTATTTGGGTGGGAGAGAGGGGAAACTGGGTGATGGGCATTGAGGAGGGCACTTGTTGGGATGAGTACTGGGTGTTGTATGTAAGCCAATTTGACAATAAATTATATTTTTTAAACAACAGGGTTTTTGTTATGTATTATATACGTTAATATACATGTATTTGGTACTAGTGTGTTTGCTACCGTTTTTAAAGACTGGCTCACCAGTGTACCATAAAGTGATCCACATGTTGCTGGGCACATAGTAGGAGTTTAGTAAATATCTGTTAATCATTGAATACTGAAACCAGCTTTTTCTAATGGATTATCCAAGTTTCTCGTGCTTTACTGACGATTCTCTGTGGAAACACAAAATAGTTCTTCATCATCATGACCTATATGCTAGTCTGCTAGTTACCTCTTTCAGAGGCCCTGGGAAATCACATTTACTTTGGTAAGCCCCTAGAGTACCGTGCTCTGCCTTGAAAAGCTACTTCTTAACTGTCCCTTCCACCCCCACCCTGAGGGTGCAGCCTCAGTGGGCACTCTGGTCACCAGGATGTGAAATGCAGTCAAAGAATAGAGGGGGGAGGGAGGCAGTGAGAGAGTAGATGGGCACTCATGACAGACTGTCTCCTTTTGCCTTACTCTTTATACCCTTATTAATCTGGGAGTCCTCTCGCCTCATGTCCTTTCTGGAACAAAGCAGGGTCTAAATAAAATGTCAACAATGTTTTTCTATTCTACCTACTTCTCTAGCTTCCCAGGTCATTTTGAAATCTGATCTGATTCAGGCCAAGACTCACTGATTAGGACATTTGATGAGCTTTGTCCTTTCATCTCATCTGACTCCCTAGAAGTAGGCCCAGGGTAAACATTTGACCATTCTTGGCCTCAGGTGTGGAAATTTGGTGTTAAGTGCTGAATTTTGTCTCCCCCCCAAATTCGTGTGTTGAAGTCCTAACCCACAGCACCTCAGAATGTGTCTACAGACACATTGGAGATAGGGCCTTTAAATAGGTAATCATGTTAAAATGAGGTTCTTAGGATGGGCCCTAATCCAGTATGACTGATGCCGTTATAAGAAAAGGGAAGCCAAGAAGACAGGCCTCAGGAGAAACCAAAGCTGTGGACACCTTGACCTTGGACTTCTCACCTCCAGAACTGTGAGGAAATACATTTCTGTTTTTAAGCCACCCAGTCTGGGGTACTTTGCAGCTTTAGCAAATTGATACAGTTGGGAGTTAAAGAGGTTCATCACCACACTTAGGGCTACAGAGAGCTTTTCTCAGCTAAGAGGCCTTGTAGAAGGCCATAGGGAGTCTGGCTCTCCAGGATGCAACAACAGAGCCAACACTCTGTCTACCGCCCAGCTCCCTGCCAAGCTGTGCGGGGGTGGGGTGGGGGGGGTCACTTATGCAATAATCAAAGTCAACCAACCCCACAACTTCTCACTAAATTAAGTCAGACAGGTGATTACCAACACATGCTCTGTATTTAAATATCACCCAATGTTCTATGCATGGCTCCACAACAAAGAACCATTCTTGGAGACCTTGCAAAACTCTGTTCCAGCAGAATTGTCTATAAAAAACATCCTCTGAAGGTTATCTCTCCTCATTTATTTCCACTGTAAAACTGGAGATGCTTTTTCTTACTCTGGAAAAAACTTCCAGGTCATCATTCCCACTAAGGAAGCAGTCAATGGGGTCATTACCCCTCCTGCTGAGTGTGACCTTGTACCAGATAAGCCCTGAGAATTCACCAGGTGTGCTGGCTTTCAGAATTTTGCAAAGTTTTTCTGGAACCCCTGTTTCCCCTTTGCTGTGCTCTCCACTCACTGCTTATTTCCATGCTATGTCTGTCGGTCTTACTACTGTGGATCCTGGAGATCTACAACAAAGCTTCATGAAATTGTACTTCAATTTCTGTTAACCTAACCTTAACCTGTTAACTTTCTTTCATTCTGTTAACCTAACCTTAACCTGCAAGACCTCAGTCTTGTAAAATAAATGTCCAATATTTCCAGTTCCATGCACCTGAAATTCTGCATGAGGAAGTTCATGACATTGATGATTCTAGCAGAGTAGATGAGATTTCACAACCCATGGACCCAGAGGTATTACGTGCAACTCTATTTCCCCATAACTGGATTCCCTCTCTAGCTTCCTCCCCTACCCGATGGCAGAAAAGTTACTTCCAGGACAATTCAGACATGTCCGAGTTTTCAGACTTTTTCAAGTTCACAATTCAATTAATTCAGCTTTGAGCTCTCCCTGCTTTCCCTAGGTGGGTCCATACAAAGGGGGCTCAGCCGTGGGAGAGGACTCTTGCCCTTTGAACCTCTCTCTGTCTTATGCTAGCTGATGCTGATATGAGACCTGCTCCATCCAGGCCACTATGATGATTCCTTCCTTTGACAGCCTCCGCCATCCTAATCTCGGGTATTGACAGACCGTGCTAGTTTTTTTCCTTAACCCCCAGGTCCCTTCGGGTCTCGGGCAACCCCTCTCCGGGGCACTGGCGCTATGGGATGCTCCCCAGGGGACGTTCCCAGCCTGGTCTTTCCAGTTTGGACATTTCCCCCTTTACTGGCTCACCCTCCCCCAAGCTGGTGTCGTGTGGAAGGAAATCAGGTCCGTGCACGCTTCCCAGGTCCTGCCAGGAAGGGGCCCAGGCTTCCTAAAGTTTTCCAGGAAAAGTCCTCCTCCCCCGCTACCCCCCAGCTCCGCCCTTCTGCGGGAGGGGGCAGCGTGGCTGGCTTTAAGCTTTAACTCTTCCGTCACAGCAGTGCTCCTTCTGTGTCTCACGCCATCCGGATCTCCGATCTCCCGGGGGAGGAGGCGGTGGTGGGAGGGACACAACCTCTGCCTCATCATATCTTTTTCAAAATTTGTATTTTGTTCGTCAGCACTGACCAAATGGGTATGCTTTGTTCTGAGTTCTTCTCCTGGTACGTATCCCTTTCCCCTTAGGGTAATTCACCCTCAGGTCTCTCTGCTGGGGGAAGGTTCTTGGGGTTGAAAAGGAATGGACATGGGACCATACTAACAAACTCTTCCATCTGCCTGTATTTTAAAATTGGATTGTTTTCAGGCAAATGTTTCTCCGCCTTTTTATTGAAAGCTTATGCTCCATTTGCAAAGCTTTTTTTTTTTTAACCTAAAAAGGCATTGTTACATTACGGTGGAGAAAGTTTGTTTGATAGTAGTTACAAAACGCTACGAAGTTATTAATAACATTTGAGAGGAAGACACGGTGAGACTCTGTTGCATTTAATCCAATTATCAAAACACTGGACATTTTTGAAGTGGATGGAACACTGACCAGCACTGAGTCAGGCAATTCCTCTCAAAGCTTTATGTCTTCATCACACAGTCGCTGGCTTTTCAAGTGTTCATACTTGCACTTTCTTTTTCGGGTTGTTTTGGTAACTGCAGAAAGGGGGAAGTGCACAAATGTGCTCAGTCCTGCCAGACCTTTCTTCACCTTGCAGTTCATTTTTCACATTTCCTTCTTCCTTAAGAGTATCTTAAGTACTCCCTCATTAGTGATAATAGTCTGCATCGGCTCCAATGCTTAGAGTAACAAATAACAAGCTTCCTGAACCAACTTTGTGGCATGAAGCCCCTTAAACAGTTCACCTGCCTTTGGAAAGCAGATTAAGTTTATTAAAATGGAGTTTCTGGCAATAATCAAAATCGTCATCTTTTAATTAAGGCATTTTTAAAAAATTAACTCATTTTGAGAGAGAGAGAGAGAGGGAGAGAGAGAGAGAGAGAGAGAGAGAGAGAGAGAGAGAGAGAGAAAGCGTGCACATGCAGGCAGGGGAGAGGCAGAGAAAGAGAATCCCAAGCATGCTCAGGACAGAGCCCAACACCGGGCTCAATCTCAAGAATCATGAGATCATGACCTGAGTGGAAGTCAAGAGTTGGTGGCTTAACTGACTGAGCCACCCAGGCGCCCCTAAGGCCATGTTTTATATTACACTTTAAAAATGTTTGTTTATTTATTTTTGAGAGAGAGAGAGAACACAGTGGGGGGGAGGGCAGAGAGAGACAGGGAGACACAGAATCCAAAGCAGGCTCCAGGCTCTGAGTTGTCAGCACAGAGCCCAACATGGGGCTCAAACCCATGAATTGTGAGATCATGACCTGAGCCGAACTCATGTTCAACCGACTGAGCCACCCAAATGCCCCTAAACTTTAAAAAATCTAATCTGAACTTAAAAAAAAAGGTGCTTTTTAGTACAGTTAAAAATTGTGTTTATACACACATGAAGAGAGAGAGAGAGAGCACATCACCATATGCCTTTAGGGAATATATAGCTGACAGAGGAAAGCTAGCAAATAAAGAATCTCAAGAATTTTCATTTCTAAGGCAGCCATTGCTTTTAAGCTAGCATATTTTTCACTTTGAAGGATGCATATGAGATTTAAATGAGATATGTGCATTCTACCCGTCTCTCACAAAAAGGAAATATTTTGATCAGTATTAACGTTTGAGTCTCTTCTGCCAAGAGAGGAAACCAGTTTAAGAGGAAAATAAAACAAAGATAAATTTCATATTTTTGTGTGGATTTATCCCCACAGATATCATTTGTTTATTCATTCATGCGTTCATTTATTCAACAGGCATATCTTCATGACATAGTGGCTCTTGTTCAGGGAAACAAGAAGAGAGGGTGATTCTATATTATCAGTTCTATATTATCAGTTATTTCGGTTGGTGGCTTTGCACATGGAAGGTGGCCACCACTGAGTTGAGTTGGAAATGTCTCTGGGCAGGGGAAAATATCATGTAGGGCTTAAGAGAAAGAGGATGGGAAAACTGGTAGATGAGCGTAGCAACAGATTGTCATTAGATTGTCTTTGGAAACTGGTTTGCAGAGTCAGACAAAATCCGGGGGACAGGTGCAGAATTCAATCAACTGTCACTGTCACATCAGTGAGAGCTGTGGTCCCAGCAATAGGAAGAATGTGAAAATGAAGCACAATGTCATCAAGTTCAAAAGCCTGGGGCAGACACCTTGTCTTCCTGGAATTGGGTTGAGCGTTGTTCCTTCAGTGGAGGGGCATCTTTTAAGTGAAGAAATTAAGTGAATTAAATGAAGAAATGTAGGATGTAGAATTAAGTGAAGAAATACTAAAGAGAACCAAACTCATAATCCCAGGATCTCCATGTTAAGGGATTGTCGGTGAACACATATACATTAAATGTATAAATGTAATCTAAAAATTTAAATGCACTAAACAAAACAATCATATTATAATAAAAAAATCACTTTTTAGAAGTGATTGTTTAAATTTGCTAAACAAAATATGAATTAAGTTGAACTAGAAACTTAGTAATAAAAATTATAGGACCAAAACCACCTGTTTCCTCTGCACAAATACCATCCTCGAGGACACTAAACAACTCCCTGACTCATATGACTCTCCCTTCAAAGCCTATTTCTTTTGGAGGTAATGGTGATTGTGGGGGGGGGCCATCATTGAGACCAGAGACAGAAAGCAAAGTAAAACAAAGATATTTCTTTTATTCCGACATGAGAGGTCTCTTGAAGTTGTTAAAGTTAACTTCTACAAAGTCAATTCTACTTTTCATTACTTAGGGAAAAAAAGTCTTCATATTTATATCACGAGCATTGTTCTCATGTCTTCTGCATTCTGGAACTTGATTTGCCTTTTGTTTGCTATTTGCAGTGCTTTCTAACATTTGTAACAAATGACATACTTGAACACTCAAGTTGCCGGGGTTCTAGTTTTCTTCTTTTTCTTCTTCTTCTTCTTCTTCTTCTTCTTCTTCTTCTTCTTCTTCTTCTTTTTCTTCTTCTTCTTTTAAATTTTTGAAGTTTATTTATTTTGAGAGAGACAGAGACAGCATGAGTGGGGGGAGGGGCAGAGAGAGAGAGGAGAGAGAATCCCAAGCAGTCTCCGTGCCACCAGCACAAAGCCTGATGTGGGGCTCGAACTCACAAAACCTGGAGATCGTGACCTGAGCTGAAACCAAGAGTCAGACGCTTAACCGGCTGAGCACTCAGGCACCCTTAATTTTCTTATCTCATGTTGATGGACTGTTGTATCCACTTTGTGTCTTATAAAATGGTTTCACATAAGGTGGGAGCATATTTCCCCAGGATTCCAAATAGTTTTGTGATTAAAGGTGAAGCCTTCTGGAAACAGGGGAAAAAGAGAAAATGGGTGCCATCCATTGATCCCTAAATCTCAGAAACAAAAACAAGGAGATACATTCTGAGGCCATATTGTTAAGGTTAAGCCAGAGTTTGAATATCTAGTTATTGCATGACCCCACCCACAGTAAGAGCATCATTAAAACAAACCTGTCTCAGGGCTACTGCAGAGCACAGACTTTGGGGAATTCAACAGGCCACCGACACGGCTACTCTCTAGCTGCCCTCCAGAAGAATGTACATGTTTGTGGTAGACTCCAGATTTAAGCAGCGCCAAAGAGAACACACTCCTTATTTTGCAATGTGAGCATGTAGAAAATACACTGAAAGGACTCTAAAATTTGCCCAGCAGGATGAACAGAAATCTTAGGCATAAAGTCCAGCTGAATCAAGGAGTTTCTATCTCCTTCTGCTTGCTGGAACAACAACTCAAGCCGGCACCACTTGTCTGTGTCACAATGGCTTGAAACATTTCTAAATCTAATACACCCCTTCCCACTGTGCAAGAAAAAATATGCAAACATGGACAGATGATTGGAAACATTCATTTCCAACTGATTTGCAAAATTGAAAGATTTTTCAAGATGTTACCAAAAACAGGGGCACCTGGGTGGCTCAGTTGGTTAAGTGTCTGACTTTGGTTCAGGTCATGATCTTGTGGTCTGTGAGTTCAAGCCCCACATCCGGCTCTGTGCTGACAGACTGGAGCCTGCTTTGGATTCTGTGTCTCCCTCTCTCTCTGCACCTCCCTCGCTCGCACTTTGTCTCTATCTCAAAAAATAAATACACATTAAAAACATTTTTACAAAGATTTAAATAAATTTATATAAAAAAGATGTTACCAAAAATGTAGATTCTTATTTGCCTAAAATGAATCAAAAAGAATTCAAATAAGAAATTTTAAAAATAATACATCATTATTCATAATAGTATGTGAACAACCTAAGTGTTAACAGATGAATGGATAAAGAAAATGTGGTAGGTGGATAGATAGATGATAGATAGATCATAGTTCAGCCTTTAACATGAAGGAAATCCTGTCATTTCTGATAACATGGATGAGTCTGGTGGGTATTATACTAAGTGAAAAAAGCCAGACAGAAAGCATGGTGTCACTTATATGTGTAATCTGAAAAAACAGTCCGACTCATAGAAACAGAGAGTGGAACAGTGGTGCCACGGCCTGGGGGTTGGGGGAAATAGGGAGAGGTTGGTAAAAGGTTAAAACCTTTCCGCTATAAGATGAATGAGATTGGAAGATCTAATGTATTAACATGGTGAATATAGCTGATGAAAGTATCTTGTAGAACTGATTTTTTTTTAAGACCATAGAACTTCAATGTTCTCATCAGAAAAAAAGGAGGAGGTAAGTATATGAGGTGATGTGTTAATTAACTCAACGGAGGGGGGAAGCTCTTTCACAACATATAGATGTATCAAATCATCACATTGTACACTTTAAATATCCTACAATTTTACCTGTCAATTATGCCTCAGTAACGCTGAAAAAATAATAATAGTCGATGACACATTGTCCAGCAGTGATTTGTTGTGTAAACTAAATTTTTGTTTTGGATCAGCTAGTTCTTTTTTTTTTTAATGTTTTTTTTTTAATGTTTATTTGTTTTTGACAGACTGAGCACAAGTGGGGGAGGGGCAGAGAGGGAGAGAGAGAGAGGGAGACGCAGAATCCAAAGCAGGTTCCGAGCTCTGAGCTGTCAGCACAGAGCGTGATGCAGGGCTTGAACTCATGAACTGTGAAATCATGACCTGAGCTGAAGTCTGACACTTAACTGACTGAACCATCCAGGTGCCCCTGGATCAACTTTTTAACCAAATTATTTTGGATCAAATGGTCTGCCACACAAAATGCGGATGAAGAGGGTATATACAGCAAAGATAGAGGACAGGATCATATTTTTCCAAAAGTGCATTCTCAGTCTTGTCCTAAGGCTAGTGGGACTTCCAATGGGTGTACCTGTGGGAGAGGAGGGAAGGAAAGGGAGGTGAATGGGGGGACAGCAACATCAGCCCAGACTTGCTTATCTTTCCAGGTCCTCAAATCTTGATCTGTAGGCTCTTTTTGGCACAAGAGACCCTTTGAGTGATTGCTAATCCCTCTCACCCCACCCCCCAACTCCCACCCCAGTCTGGGGAACTTGTCTTCCCTGCCAGTTGTTCCATGGGCTCTGTGGAAAAGGCTGAGGCAGGGAAAGATTGGCTCAGTACTCAGACACTGCAGCAGCAGAAATGGTTCATAGCTTCCCCATATTCTAAGATCATTAAGAATCAAATGTCTTTAGAATAAATACTCTGTGGTGCCTGGGAGTGGGAAAAGAGATGTGATTTATCAGGCAATGACCTTGTCCTCTTAGAGTAGCTCAGGACGTTGAAGGAGAATTGGACATGAATGTGATAAATTATCCTGAACTTTCAATGTATTCGGACGGGGCTTGGGTAACTCCTCTTAAGTATGGTTGTTCTTTTTTTTTTTTTTTTTAATGTTTATTTATTTTTGAGAGAGAGTGCGAGAGGGGAGGGGCAGAGACAGAGAGAGAGAGAGACAGAGGATCCAAGGCAGGCTCTACGCTGACAGCAGCAAGCCTGTTATGGGGCTCAAACTCAGGAACTGAACCCTGAGATCATGCCCTGAGCTGAAGTGGGATGCTCAACCCGACTGAGCCACCCAGTGCCTCAGTATGTTTATTTTTAAATGGTGTGTGTCCATCTGAAAGGAGGACAAGAGGTGTGGACTAAAGCAGTTTGTGTCTGAGCACTTCACGGTTACTACTGTCCAAAGCTTAGATCAGCCCCGAAAGCAAAACAGGTAGAAGCCTACTCTCTTTTTGGGCTTTGGGCCCATCTTTGTTTCTCATGCACCCTCCTCCCATTGCTGCTACTGTGACAGGCTTTCTCATTGAGACCCCCACCCCCACCCCAATGTACCCATTTCTCTGTTAAACCCCTGCCCTCAACACACACACAAACTCAGCATCTTCACAGAAAGCTCTTCCTCTCTCTTCTGGTCCTAAGTGAAAGCAGGCTGTCTCTAGCAATAAGGCACCCCTTCTGGAAACTTTTCTGCATCTCTAGGGCCTGGGGTATGTGAGTGAGGACAGAAGGATGGGGGTGGGGAGAAGGAGGTTAGTGTTCCCTCATCCCTTCACATTTTACACCTTGCTCTCCTGACTTCAGGGGAGACGCCAACTCCAAGGAGATCCCTCCCACACAGCAACTCCACCATCCTCAGGGTGTTAACTTCAAGGTCATCATTCACATTTTGCAGAGTCCATCTCCAGGATTATAGTTTTTTAACCCTCCCTCGGCCTATCCCATTTTTCCAGATTTTGCCAACGTTTAAAAGAACGACAGACTGCAGTAGTCTCAGAGGTTCTTGACCTCCTGCCTCCAATGTGTTCATCCCCATTCCCATATTCCACTCCCTGTCTGAACTGTCCATACTTCTTTCTGTCCTGCACCTATTCCCACTATCTTAACTGTCCTGATACCTCCAAGAGTGGAGCACCGCAAAGGATATGACTTCAGACCCAACGTAGGCTCAGGGTCCAGGTATGCTACTCGCTAGGACATCAGGCTTTACCTGAGACCTTATCTCTTTCACTTCACTTTCTGGTCATCTATAAAGTGATATCACACCAACTTCATAGGGCAGTCACAAGCAGTAAATGAAGTAACAGCTAAAAGATCTGGCACATAGTAGGTGCTCATTAATGTTGGCCACTTTCCATTCCCTCGACTTTGGTGCTTCTCAGCAATGCTTTTCCTCTCCCCTTCACTGACGTTTCCAAACCTCTGCTCACTGTCCAAATGCCCTATTGCACTAAGTCCAAATGCACTAAAACTAAGAGGTAATCACCATGGTAACACACAGCACCCTTCCCCTGCACTCATTTTCCCCTGTTTCAAAAGATGCACTTCTCTGTTTCCTCCCTATTGTGCTCTGGACCCATTCCCTCCAATTTCCCTCTGGACCTCACTTCATCAATTACTTCCTCTCTCTGGTATGTTTACTCCCTACAGCCATTTCCACCGACTATTTCTTCCTCCTTGCTCCGCCCATGATGTCTGCCTCTTCTTAAATATCTTCTGTTGACCTTGCACCCCTTCTAGTCACCACCTTCCCATTGTGTCTGGATCTCCTTGAAAGAGCCTTCCCTCTCCTCAGTGCCCAGCCAGCCAGCTGCCCCTCAACCTGCTGCAGGGCATGTGGCTTCCTGTGTCACCCACCTCACCTGCTTTCATGAATGTCGCCAGTGCCCTTCTGAGTGCTGCATACAAGAGACTTTTTAATCTTTTTTTCCTACTTCAATTCTCAACAGCATTTCACTCTGGGGGTGACTTCTTGTAGTGCTCTACTCTTTGTGTCCAGGACCTCAATATCTGCTGGTATATTTTTTTACATGATTGTGGCCACTCCTTTTTCAGTCTCCTTTGAAAACTATTGGTTCCTCTTGTCTAAGTCCACTCTCTCCAACATATACTGTGTGCCTATTGAGTGCCAGACCTGTGTGGATGGATGTGTTGCAGACAGACTAAGACTATAATAATAGAAGCACAGTCCGAAGCTGTACAAAGACAAGACCCACCCTGGAGCGTGGTCAGGAAAGGCTTCATGGAGAGGTGAGAGGAAGAGTAGGTGTCCACAACCAGACAAGGAAAGAAAGGATATTTTAGGCAGAAGAAACATTCCCAGGGCAATGCCTGAAAGGTAGACGGAAGCAGATTTACAGAAGTAGAATTCTGAGTAACACAAGTCTCAGAGGTACTATGTTCCTCTGTTTCAGTGTTCTCAACCAGTGTGATTTTGTTCTTCAGGGGACATTTGGCAATGTCTGGAGACACTTTGGGTTGTCATGATGTGGGGAGTGCTATTAACATCTGGTGGATAGAGGCCAAGGATACTGTAAAATATCCCACAATGCACAGCATAGCCCCCTCCCCTCCCCAGCAAAGAATCGTCCAGCTCAAAATGTTAATAACGCTGAGGTTGAGACATCATGTTTTATTCTAACTTTAGCCTGAGGAGTCTGGCTCCAGGCCAAGTTTCAACGTGTGATGTTTTCAGACCAGACTACAGGCAATTACAAAGTTTTACCTGGCAGGTCTCATAAGGGGTAGGCTCTGCCCTACCCATGCTAGACTTGGTGCTCAGCCAGGGCACTGCAGTTTTCTGGATAGTGTTGCAAAGACTCAGAGGCAAGCCCCACCGCGCTGCACCCCCACCCCCCACCCCAGCCCTGCTCTGAGGCATATCTGCAAGCCTGGCCCAAACACCCCCACTTCCAGGCCTCTTTTTGTGGGGGGGGTTGTCTCAGATGAGGCCTTTCTCAGGACCTCTGCCAAGACCACCTGGTCTGGGGGGCCTTGAAGACACTACTCTCCGCTCTGACTCAGCATTCAGTACTTTTCCACTCTTAGCCTTCCTCACCTCTACCTCCCCAGGCCCCCAGGTCCTGGCGGCTCTGCTCTCTGACTGGCTGTAGACCTAGTCACATTGTACAATTATTTGGCTTTCTTTGTCTTCGAATCTGAGAGGCCCTTAATGATTTTAGAGCTGAGTGAACAAAAGCATGTGTCAGTTTTCCAGACGGCAAACCTAAGAGGGGTAATTCACAGCAGATGATCGGAAAAGGCTTCAAGGAATTTTGTGGACAGCTTGGCAAAGGAAAATTTCACTGGGGTCAGTGGAAACTCCTCTGTTTAGGTCTCAAAGAGTGTGCAAGTGCGGAGTGAGTGCCTAGGGTTACCTAGCACTTGCGGGACCAGCACCCCGAAATGTTAGGATTCCCTGGTATTTAGAGTCATGTAGGTTAGACTCCAATTGTACTCTGGCTGGGTAGGTCATCCTGGAGTGTGTTATTCAGTTTTTGACATGCTCGAAAAAGTTATTTGCTTAAATTTGTGACTAAAGGCATTTCATTGTGCAGCCATGCGTGCTCATGACACAAAGTCTTCATGAGGGCATGTATTGACAGGTCTCCTCTCAGCTCGGACACTGTCTCCCACTTTCCTTCTCCAGAGGCAGTGACTGGTTCATGCAACCATTTTTTAGGAGGGTCCGTGACAAATCTGAATACGTCCAAGGAAACAATTGGGTCAACGAAGGAGGCTTATCTCGGAGAAGGAAAAACCTCTCAGCATGGTGGAGAATGAGGTAACATGAAGAAGTCTCAGGAAAAGAGATTGGAACAGAAGTGGATTTGCTATGGCTTTCATGGAATAGAAGCTTCTGGGCCCCTCACCTGCGCTATCTTCTTTGAAGACTTCCACCTAATATCACGTTTATCATTGTTATTCTTTTTTTTCTAAAGGAGAGCCCTCCCCCCACCCCAAGTTGAATAAGATCAGCTCCACTAATTCTGGATCCACCCCTGAGCTAGAATTAATCTACATAATTCCTTGGGACAAAACTAGGATTAATAGTAGAAAGTTACAATGAGGCAAACATTGCTCAAGATCTGGAAATTCTCCCAGTTAGAGCTATTAAAAATTGGGATGGGCTGCAGAAAACCAGAAAGTACGTCATTGGATGCCTTGGGTAAAAGCGAATGAGGCAGGGTTGTTGTAAGAGGGGCTGATGATCTCTCCCAACTCTAGGAATCAAAGTCTCTGAGATAAGCTACAGAGAGGGCACTGAGACAGCATTTGCTTGCCTATGTATTAATAGTAGGGACCCCAAGTCCAATAGCAGGGACCCCCAAGTCCAGGCACGTATAGTTTGCTAGGTTTAAGTCACTGTATTAAAAAAAAAAATAATAAAAATATTCAGAAGCATTCAGTGTTCCACGATGAACTTTCTCAAACATATTCAAACCAGTAGGAAGTCACTGAATCGAGTTGGCAATAGACTCCTAATCTATTACTCCTAATCTCCTGCTCCTCCAGCCATGCTCCCAGATGCTGGATTCCTTGCTCAAAATCAGCTAGAGGCGTGGTTGTATTCCTTCGGTAAGGTCTCCAGCGCAGAGAGAAGTGGCCGCACCCCACCATCACAGTAATGTTTGTTGCTGTTGAACTGTCAAGCGCAGTGGCCACTGGTCCTTTCAGGCACATCAGTAGACGCTTCCTCACGACGAACCACTGGCAATCATTTCACTACTAGTGATGCCGTCATATGCTGCGGATTACTGGCGTCCCATTTTCATCAGGAAGAACTTCAGCACTGCATTCAAGGCCAAACACATCCGTATCCATCCCATATTCTGACCTTTAAAAGTTTGTTTTCTTGGACCACTCACACCCGATATGACATGGATCATGGTTCTCGGGACAGCAGAGACAACCCTAGGCATTTCACTAGAGAGAATTCAATGTAGGAAATTGGCTGTGCAGGTAAGAAGGCAAACACAGAAAAGTGTTTAGTGAGCAGAGATAGTGGGGGCTGGCTCAGGAAACAAGGCAGAGGCCGGATCACCAGAACCTGCCAGCTGGGAAGGGTGGCCTGAGGCAGGGAGCTGGGCCTCCATGGAGAGCTGTTGCATAGTCAGGGCAGAGGCGTGGAAGAGGGGCCTTGAGGCCAGACTGCTGCCTGGTGGTGCTGTCACCTCTGCAAGACACGGGCAGACTGGTTTGGGGGTCTGGAAAACAGCTGGAAAACAGTCTGCCAATGTGATGGTGACAAGAACAGCAGGCCAGGCCAGCAGGTGGCCATTCCCTCTTCAAGCCTTCCAGTGTCCTCTCAGTGCTCCCACTGGTGGGTCCTAATGGGGAGCCAGCTGGCAAAGGGAAGTGTATTTGCAGAGCCTTGACCTTGGCCTCAAACTGCAGAGCAGAGCAGGGCGGTGCTGAGCTTCGAGGCAATGCCTTAATAACTAGCACAGCCTCACCTGCTCGCAGGACACCCAGACCCCTCACCACCTGGTCTGCTGATCACACTTGCCTTCCCCTCGTCTCCTTCCCTCCCCGATGAGGGGGTGTGGTCCCTCCCCGCCATCTCCCGGGGAGAACTGATGATGCCCACCTCAGGTTCTGTTGTACCTGCCCAGGTAATTAAGAAAGCACTGGGAACACATCAACATGTCTGGGGGCGCCTGGGTGGCGCAGTCGGTTAAGCGTCCGACTTCAGCCAGGTCACGATCTCGCGGTCCGTGAGTTCGAGCCCCGCGTCGGGCTCTGGGCTGATGGCTCAGAGCCTGGAGCCTGTTTCTGATTCTGTGTCTCCCTCTCTCTCTGCCCCTCGCCCGTTCATGCTCTGTCTCTCTCTGTCCCAAAAATAAATAAACGTTGGAAAAAAAAGAAAAAAAAATTAAAAAAAAAAAAACATGTCTGTTTCTCCCTGTTAAAATCCTGAAGCCCCTTGATGGAAAAGGGTGAGTTTTCATCATCGTGCCTCCAAAGCTATGGTTGGCACATAGCACATACTTTAAAAACATTTGTTGAGGGAGCGCCTGGGTAGCTCAGTCCGTTGAGCAGCTGACCTCTGACTTCGGTTCAGGTCATGATCTCATCGGGCTAGCTGTTATCTGCGCAGAACCCACTTTGGATCTTCTGTCCCTCCCTGGCCCCCTGCCCCTTCCCTGCTTATGCTCTCTCTCAAAAATAAATAAATCTTTAACAAACAAACAAAACATTTGTTGAATGAATATGTCGTAGATGTTTGCCCAGTCATGGCACTGATAATCTAATTGGAAGAGGTCATATACAACATTAATATACAAATTGAAAATCTTTAAAGGAAAGTGAAGCACACTGGACTTTAAAAAAAATTAGTTTTTGATTTTTCCTAATTTAGAGAAAACTCTAACAACTTCCTTTTAGTAATTAAATGTATTAGGTAGCTTTTGAGGAGTCTCTAATATAACTTTCCTTTAGTAATCAAATGGATTAGGAACTTTTCGGGAAGAGTTTAAAAGTCCTCATCTCTGCATGAGTTGGATAACACACATGGAAAATACTTGTGGTCTGAGAACAGAGGTGTTTTCATATATGGAAGGGTTTTGTTCTTTTCCCATTTTCTTTGGGAAGGATGGTTATTCTTTTACGGAAGATGACAGAAACAGCAAAACAATGCTAAATTTCCTCCCAGGGAAGCACATTGGCCCCACAGAGGTCACTTCTCAGTTCTGAAGAGGGTGTTCCCTCTCCAAGCTGTCCGCTGGGGACGGGAAGGGCTCAAATGATGTCTTTGGACTCACGGTTGGCCCCGTGACAACTTTGGAGAGTAAAGTAATGCTGACAATAATAAGGCGCATTAACCAAGGGGCGCATTAATCGAGGGGCACAGATACTTTAAACAATATGAGGCTGACACTTGAGCCCACTAAGAGGCTAGGAGGGCCAGGCAGCTCGGCGGCGGGGGGTGGGGGGGCGGTCAGAGACAGGAGACCCAAGATGGCACAGAGCGAGTCCTTGCACACGTGTGACGAGACCTGTGGGATGGACCCAGTGCACAGCCTATTCTCTGGGGCTGTAACTCCCAGGTGGGCACTGGTCTGCCCCCATGACATTTATACCCACACTAGAGTAATAGGGACAGCCCCATGAGATTTTCACTCAGCTAAGTGTATTTCATGTGAAAAAAATGTCCTTAGCCCAAGTCATGTCCCTTCTGCATTTTGGTGTCAAAATGTCATTTCTGTAATAAAATGATCATGATGGGAAATGGCAGGGCTTTCTTTTTGCTTTTCTTTTTCGCTTGGCCACATACATGATTGACAAATCTACGTAGGTCACAAAAACAAAATTTTTTTGAGACGTTGCTGGTGTGTGGAATCTAGAAGTCTGGGAACCACGATAAAAGGCATGTCCCGGGGGCCCCTCTCCTGAGTCTCTCCTTAACCAAGAGGGAAAGAACTGGGGGAGGGGGTGTTAGTTAACAAAGGGCAGCTCTTCATTCTTGCCTGATTAAAAGCAGAAAAACAAGTCATTGGGGACACCTGGGTGCTCAGTTGGTTAAGTGTCGGACTCTCTTGATTTTGGGTCAGGTCATGATCTCACAGTTTGTGAGATTGAGCCCCCACTCCCCTACCTTGGGCTCTACACCGTCAGTGCAGAGCCTGCTTGGGGTTCTCTCTCTCCCTCTCTCTCTCTGCTCCTCCCCAGCTAGCATATTCTCTCTCTCTCAAAATAAATAAGTAATTAAAAAAAAAAAAGAAAGAAAGAAAGAAAGAACAAGTCATTGGTGAGAATCTCCAGAACTTCCAAGGCTCAATGAATTTCTCCAAATACTAAATAGGAATCTCCCTTTCTCTCTCTCTCTCCCTCCCTTCCTCCCTCTCTTCTTAAAAAAAAAAAAAAATTCTTTTAATGTTTATTATTTTAGAGTGCATGAGAGAGACAGCAAGCAGGGGAAGGGCAGAGAGAGAGAGAGAGAGAGAGAGAGGGAGACATAGAATCGGAAGCAGAGCCTGAAGCAGGGCTTGAACTCACAGACCAAAAGATCATCACCTGAGCTTAAGTTGGCTACTTAACCAACTGAGCCACCCAGGCACCCCTTTCTCCCTCTCTGTCTTTGTCTCCGTCTCCATCTCTCTCAAAATGCCCTTTCAGGGGAAATTAAAAAAAAAAAAAAAGCCCACTGGAAAACATGGTTGTTGTATGAATATTCCAAAATTGGATTAGTCAGAAAAAGAAATCATGTGGTTGTTAGGAGAAAGGAGCCTGGCCTTTTCTGTGACATGGGCGACTGCGTCTCCTTTACTAAACTGTGGTAGAGGGCTGTCATTTGTGTTGATAGGGAGGCAGTATTATTCTCCAAAAAGAAAAGAAGATTGCGGTTTTTTTTTTATCAATACTTAATGAACTAAAATTATAAAATTAAAAACGAAATGTTCTTCAACCTTTATGTTCAGTTGATAAATCGTGCTCATTTTTTCAACCACCTAATAATGTTGGGAAGTCAAATACAACTTTTCATTATAATTTTTTTTAATGTCTATTTATTCTGAGAGGGAGCGTGCAGGCATGTGAGTGGGGGAGAGACAGATAGAGGGAGAGAGAAAATCTCAAGCAGTTTCCACAGTCTTCCCAGAGCTCAGTCTCACTAACAGTGAGATTATGACCTGAGCCGAAATCAAGAGTGGGCCATTCAACCAAATGAGCCACCCAGGTGCCTCTTCTTGTTCTTTAATCAGCACTCAATCTGTGTGTAAATTTGACTGATTAAATTCCCCTAAACAACAGCATTTCCAAACTTGACTAAATTCTCTTAGATAGTTCAAACTATAGTTGAGTATGATATCTAATTCTTTCAAATACTTCAACTGGGAGTTTTTATAATTCTCAGAGGCAAAATTGCCTTGTACCCTCAAGTATTAACTTGTCCATCTGATAAGTCAGACTTCAGAACCCAACAAATCAGGATCCCTAACCCTATCACCCATCCTAACCGCAGCCAAAGCATACATAAAATAGTGCAATGATTGCAAAACTTGCTACCACAACTATATAAGCAACTTAAACAAGCCCCCATATAATAAGCTGGAGTTCCTTCTTCATCTCAGAGTTAAAAAGGTGCTTATCGGCCACGGAGTTGGATCCCACATCCCAGGCCCTGGGCCTGCAGTGCCATAGGGGAGAGAGCAAGTGTGGGGTCTCAGGACTGGAGCAGAGGCCCAGTGAGTCAGGCTGGCACCCTCATTCCCAAAGACCTCCTTACCATCTGGTAACTCACTTCTTTGCCTTTATGGATCCCCCCCCCCATAACAGTTTACCCCTGCATAGTCCCCACCTGCCTCTACCTGGTCCCCTATCCCCCTCAGAGGATCCCAGAGTCAGTCCTGCACCAGCAGATCAACTCTCCATGCCCTGATGCACACTGCATGGCGACAGTTGTCAAACAAAATACAAGCCTGGTATGTAATCGGGGGTTATCAGTACATATCATTTTCTGAACCTGTTATTAGAAATTTATATAAAGCTTTCCTGAAGCACACCTCATACTGTTTGCCTCTTTTGAGGTTGTAATGGACTCAGGGGCTTTACAGAATGATTATATTCTTTTTAATGCTCACAGTGTCACAAGTGTAGCCCATGGGAGCCCCTTATTTAAATTAGCTCCTTTTTTGCGGCGCCTGGGTGGCGCAGTCGGTTAAGCGTCCGACTTCAGCCAGGTCACGATCTCGCGGTCCGGGAGTTCGAGCCCCGCGTCGGGCTCTGGGCTGATGGCTCAGAGCCTGGAGCCTGTTTCTGATTCTGTGTCTCCCTCTCTCTCTGCCCCTCGCCCGTTCATGCTCTGTCTCTCTCTGTCCCAAAAATAAATAAACGTTGAAAAAAAATTTTTAAAATAAATAAATAAATAAATTAGCTCCTTTTTAGTCTTGAAATACCTGTATCTTTGACAGCAAGCAAGCTGTGTCAGGCTGGCTTTCATTTTCCTTCTCTACAACACAGAATCAGCTGCTATGATTGAAAGCAGCAGAGAGGCCCTGGGAACGTGACACTGATTTAGGCTGCTTTAGTAAATATCAGAAATTCATATGTATGTGTCTAATTTTACCTCCATCTTTATTTACTGAGTACTCCTTTAAAATTTTTTTATGTTTTTTAATTTTATTTTTGAGAGAGAGAGAGAGAGCACAAGTGGGGAAGGGGCAGAGAGAGAGAGAGACACCAAATCCGAAGCAGCCTCCAGGCTCTGAGCTGTTGGCACAGAGCCTGACGCGGGGCTCGAACCCGCGGACGGCGAGACCATGACCTGAGCCAAAGTCGGATGCCCAACTGAGCCACCCAGGCGCCCCTGAGTACTCCTTTAAAAAAACTTTTTAAAAATTTATTCATTTTGAGAGAAAGAGAGAGAAGAAGCTTGAGTGGGGGAGGGGCAGAGAGAGAGAGAGAGAGAGAGAGAGAGAGAGAGAGAGAATTTCAAGCAGATTCCATGATGTCAGCGCAGAGCCAGACTCAGGACTCTTTACAGGACTTGAACTCTCGAACCGTAAGATCACGACCTGAGCTGAAACCAAGAGTAGGATACTCAGCTGAGCCACCCAGGCGCCCAGGAAGCACTCTTTATTTAAAGCAATCTGATGTAAAATAAAGTAAAATTTTCAGTATTTCCCTCCCTTTTCTGAGCCACCGGCTTCTCTCATCTGACATACCCGTATCTTCTCGCCAACTTCAGTGCATCATGCTATACGTTAGTTTCCCCAACAACATGATTAAATCACATCACCTAACCTTCTGTCACACAAATGTGCACCTATTTAGATCCTGGAACCCTCACTTGGGTCGCCTGCTCTTTTAAAGTCCTTATGTGTCCCATTGGCCATTGTTCTGGATTTGTCTGACAATCACCACACTCTATTAGGAGCCAGAGCTTATGGGGTTAGACATAGAAGACTGAAATGTAAAGATGCTTTCATATCTCTCATAACACCAAAATCAGTAAGATGCCTTGTGACTATCAGGCATTAATACTTACAAACGGACTGTTAATATTACTTTACATACCAAACCATTGACTGCAGTTTTGGTACTGCAGTGTCTGTGCTTGTGGGTGGCAGAAAAAGAGAAAAGAGAGGGGACAGGCCTTTTTAGTCACTTTTGGCTCAGTTCACTTACAAACATTAATTCAACAAGCATGTGAGTTCCCACTACGTGCCATGCCCTGTTCTAGGCTCCAGGATCCCCGTCCTTGTTGGGATTACATTCTAATGCCAGCAAATACACTGTGTTAGCTAAAGCATGTTTGCTTCCAAAACCTGATTTAAGCATGTTCTAATTCCCCAGGAGACTGTAGGAGCAGAAAGAGGTCCCCTCACTCCCGATATATAATCCCTCTAACTGAAGTGCTATAGCATGGAACGCTTTTAACAGAGAACAATGCCTTCCAACGAAAAGGCAGGAATCTGGGACAGATTACTTATTGAGTCACTGAATTGCTATGAATGATTTTCCATTGAAATATAAATGTTAACATTCCAGGCTTTGCTGGCTTCATAGAGAGATTAGAAAGTAGGAATGTACTAAGAATGTGCACACAGGAGGACTCCAAGATTAAGAGAAGGAAGGCAACAAGAGGAGGGGCAGAGGACGCCTGGAGCTGGTCTGTGTCCAAGCACATCTAGATGGCTTCTCAAGGGCACATAGGCCTGTGCTCAAGGACATTCTCAAGGACAATGGTGGCCTGCACTCTGTTCTTTGCCTACAGATTTTATTTGATTTTTAAAAACTTTTTACGAGGTACACATACATTCAGAAAAGTACATATACCCTAAACATAAAACTCACTGAATTTTCAGCAACTGAACATACCTATGCAAACAATCCCAATTAAAAAGCAAGATTTTATTTTGGGCACCTGGGTGGCTCAGTCAGTAAAGCCTCTGACTCGATTTTGGTTCAAGTCATGATCTCATGGTTCATGGGTTTGAGCCCTGCATTTGGCTCTGTGCTGACAGTGCGGAGTCTGCTTAGGATTCTCTCTCTCTCTCTCCCTTTCTGTCTGCCCCTCCCCTCTGTTCTGTCTCTCTCTCTCTCAAAATAAGTAAATAAACACACACACACACAAATAAATAAAGGGGCGCCTGGGTGGCTCAGTAGGTTAAGCGTCTGACTTCGGCTCAGGTCATGATCCCGTGGTTTGTGAGTTCGGCCCCACGTCGGGCTCTGTGCTGACAGCTCAGAGCCTGGATCCTGCTTCCGATTCTGTATCTCCTTCGGTCTCTGCCCCTCCGCTGCTCATGCTCTCTCTCTGTCTCAAAATAAATAAAATGTTTAAAACATTAAAAAAAAACAAATAAAAAGCAAGGTTTTATTTTAATAATATGAACAATTTTGCATGTGACATGAAATCCAAAGGGTCAAAAGAGTATGTATGAAAGAAGTCTCCCTCCTACCCCATTTGCCAGTCACCCAGTTCTCCTTTCTAGAGAAAAAAAACATTGTTAATAGTTTCTCACCCAGTGGGTTTTATTTAGTTTAGAAAGAATTTTTAATTCCAGGATAGTTAACAGACAATGTTAGTTTTGGGTGTACAGGTGTGATTCAACAATTGTATACATTGCTCAGTGCCCATCAGAAGTGTGCTCTTAATCCCCTTTACTATTTCACCATTCCCCCTCCCCCACCCCCCCTGTCTGGCAACCATCAGTTTGTCCTGTATAGTTAAGAGTCTGCTCTTTAACCAATGAGGGTTTTAAGATTTTATTTAAATTTCTTTTTTAGCATTTATTTTTGAGAGACAGAGACAGAATGCAAGCGGGGGAGGGGCAGCAGACTCTGAAGCAGGCTCTAGGCTCTGAGCTGTGAGCACGGAGCCCACCGCCCTGGCCTGAACCTGGGAACCTAGAGATCATGACCTGAGCCAAAGTCGGAAGCTTAACCAACTGAGCGCCCCAGGCGCCCCAAGATTATTTTAAAGTAATCTCTACACACCCAAGGTGGGGCTGGAACTCACAAGCCCAAGATGAAGAGTCACATGACCTGCGCAATGAGCCAGCCGGGCGCCCCTAATGAGTTTTAAATCAGACTTTCTGACAACTGTAGGCTCTTTGCTGGGTGGGGGATGGGAGGGTGAAGTCCTCCCTTTATAGGCGCTAAATAAGACCCCTGAACCTGTCCCAGACTCGCCTGGCCTAGGCTGCCCAGAGACAACAGCCAAAAAGGGTCCAGGGCCGCGATTCAAGCAGCAGCCACGCCAAGGTCCGCCCCCACGCCCGCCTTGGCCCCCCGCCTTGGGTGACAGGTTGGGGGAAGGCGGGGCACAGACGCGGGGGAGGGGTGGGAAATCTGAGACTCGAGTCGTATGGGCCCCTGGCCATTAAAGAGGAAGCTTCCGGGCGGCCCAAGGGTGGGCAGAGGGCCATCGTCAGTCCTGGGAAAGGGGAAAGCAAGGAGGCCTAGAGGGCGGCCTTTCTCCGGGAGAGCGTGGAAGGAAGGCGGCGGCGGCCACGCCAAGGAGGAGGAGAGCAGGACAGGGTGGGGACAGCCCCTCCGGGGGCTTCTGGGGGCGGATCCCCGGGGTCTGGGGGTAACCCTTCTGGGTGTCCGGGGACTGTCCTCCCTCCGGGGTCTGGGGGCGGTGCTCTCCGGGGTGTCTGGGGACGGTCCTCTCGCGGGCCGGGCTGCAGCGTGGAGACCCGGAGGACCCGGCGGGGCGGCGGCCCCGCCCCGCGATGCTTTTTCTTTGGGGATCTCCAGGAGAGCCTTTAAAAATAGCCTGGCTGACGTGTGAAGAGCGGCTTCTATGGCAAGGGACGAGTGCCTGCTCTAGTGCAAGCTTGAGCGAGGGTTGAGCGAGGAGAAGGGGCCGGGGCCGCCCGCGGGGAGAAGCGTCAACGCCGCCGCCTGAAGTGGGGCAAAGGTCGCGGTGGCACCCACCGCCTGCGGCGGCCCAGACGCTCGGGTTCTTGTGCCGGAAGCATTTTCACTCTCAACATAATAGGGAAAACAGAATTTTCCATAAAAGGATTTTGTTTTTCCCTTGAAGACGGTACACTTACCGGGTCATCTTTGGGCCTTCCCTTTCTTGATAAAGAAACTCAGAACAGTGACCTCTTTCATATATTCTAGTTAGCTCGTGTCAAATGAGGCGTTTAACTCATCAGCATTTCGGTTAGGTTTGAAGCTGATTGTTAGATAACAGATAACTGATTTATGGACACCTGAGTTCAGTCCGGAGCTATGCCACATCGGGGGTATTGAGTTTCTGGCCTCAGGTTTATCACCTCTTCGGGAAGATGAAACTAGCACCTTGGATGTAATCCATGACACCAATTTGCGTTACATTGTGAAATCCGTCGACGACTTTTCTAAGACCTCAGAGGAGGAAGAGACCCATGCGAATAAAAGAATCGGGGAAACATTCCAAGAAGAGGCCCATCTTCAAGTTTAGGTGAGATATCAGTAAGTAGTCACTGGATTACACGGAGTTGAACCTCCTGGAACCTTTTGTTGCCTTTTATAACCGGAAAGCAGGGTGTTAAGGGAAGGCTTTGCCCACACAGGGCTATGTACATCGCCCCGGTGAATGCACTCGAAGTCCCTAGCACCTCGGAAGCTCCCCTTGTGGGAGGGCTCACTTCTCGAGAAATCCCTACCCCCACCCCGAGGTAACCGCTGTCCCAACATTAACACCACGTGTCCATTTTGTTTCCTTTTGAACGTTCACGTATGCGCTCTGTGCCAGCTCTCAGGCTGCTGCCTCTCGGTTCCAGACCCACGCTCCCGTCGGCCTCGCGCTGCGGGCGAGGCTGCCTCAGCGCCATCCCTCTGTCCCCTGTCCCTTGACACCCAGACTCCCCTGGAAACCAGCTGCAGGGAACCTGCAGCTCGTAGGAGAGGGGAGGGACTTGCTTCTTCCTGCTGGCTTCCTGTTGGCTCCCTTTCCTGCCAACGTCACCCTAGCAACCTGCTCCCCCCCCCCCCCCCCCCCCCCCCCGCCCCAGTGCCAGCAGCGCTTTCCGGCAGCAGTAATGGAGTCTAGTTTGTAATTTTCGCAGCAGTTAGAGAACCCCTCTGAGCGCCCCCCAAGACACCGGTCCCAGCACCAGAAGGTTGGGGAGGGGGCTGCCTCCAAGCTTCTGGATTTCAGGAATTTCAGCTTTTTTCTTCTTGTGCCCCAGTCCTAGGAGGTGGTAGCTACCTCCCTGATACCTGTTTTTGACTTTTAGTCATCTAGTTAATATCTTTATACCTAGTTAACTGTTCTTTATGATACATCCTGTCTATTGGGTTAGCTGGTGTGGTTTCTCTCTCCTTACTGGTTGCTGACTATAGAATCTATTCTGGGTTAATTTGTGCCTGGCTTCTTTCATGCATCATGGGAGTTAGACTCAGCTGGCTTATTACACGCAGCGATAGTTCATGGATTGTCGCTGCTGCTTATCACTCCGTGGACACACGGCCTTTTATTTATCCAAATACTGTTGTCATATTTTCAGTTTGAGCTATGACATGATGCTGTTGTGAATATCGTTGTACGTGATTTTCAATGCCTGATGTGCGTGCATTTCTGTCTGTGTGTCCCAGCAGTGGAAACGCACGATTAGGGCATGCATATGTTCAACTTCAGTAGATCATGTACACGGTTTTCTAGAATAGTTGCACCGTTACACACCCATCAGCGGCAGTGCAATGAGAGTTGCCATGTTGCACATTGTAATGAGTTCTCCATACCTCAAACTTAAAAATGTTAGCTATTCTGGGGCGCCTGAGTGGTTCAATTGGTTAAGCTTTCAGCTCAGGTCACGATCTCACCGTTTTGTGTTCGAGCCCCACATAAGTCTCTGTGCTGACAGTGCAGAGTCTGCTTGGGATTCTCTATCTCCCTCTCTCTCTCCCCCTCCCCTCCTCATATTGTCTCTTTCTCAAAGTAAATAAACTTAAAAAAAATTTTTTTTTAATTTAGCTCTTCTGGTATATGTGCAGTGGTATCCTAGTGTATATGTCATCTGCATAACAACTTCCCCCCAAATTTGGTGGCTTAAGAAATTCATTATCTCACAGTTTTTGTGGATCACCATTTCTTTGGGAGAGACTTAGCAGGGCAGTTCTGCTCAGGGTCTTTTACTCAGAGTTTGGCTAGAGGCCCCAGTTGCTCTTGGTGTTGGCCTCCCTAAAGCTCCTTGGGCAGCCACCTAACATGGCAGCCCGTGGTCCTGTCCGAGTGATCCAAGAGAGGGGGCGAGGGGGAAGCCACACACTTCCATCTGCTTTATTCTCTGTTGGAAACCAGTGTTTACTCCTAGACTGCCCTCAAAGGAACTAGTCCCCATGTCTTGAAGGGAGAAGTAGCAAAGAATTTGTGGACGTTAAAACCCTCATGCACACCATGGTTTTCATTGACAGCTGGTTATTAACAGAATTGAGATTGCCCATTTGAGTATGCTCTTTGGTAAAGTGTTCAAACCTATTGCTCATTTTTTCTCTTTATCGTTTTTTATTTTATTTTTATTTATTTATTTATTTTTCTTTATCGTTTTTTTAAAAATTGATTTGTCGAGTTCTTTGTCTATTCTGGGCACAAGCTCTTTGTGAGAAGTAGGTGTTGCCAATATCTACTCAGTCATGGGAAATTTCTCCTTTATGCCTTTCAGCGTTTTCAAATTTCTTGCTGTTCGCACATGCGACTTTTATATTTTAAAATATCTTTAACAAGTAAAAGCTCTAGTGGCAGACCAACAGGGAAGCAGACGACGCAGAGTTAAAACATCAATGGATGTGAGGGAAGGAAGGCAGTAGGTGCTGGCAGGACAGCTATTCACTGGAAATTAGTCACTGACCTGAACATTCCAAACTCTTGTTTCTTTGGAAACATATGAGGGCAGACATTTAAGAAGACTTAATTAATAAATTTCTGTTTTCTGTCCCAGATTTTGGAGATGACTCCAAGGATAACATATTATGTTCCCTACCTTTCCAAAAAAGGGTTACCTCATCCCCAGGGATGCAAATGTTTTCAGTTCTACTGTTTGCTTGCTCACACAAAAAAATGCATAGCCCCGAGCTGAACGTGTGAGCAGGAACACTGTATTTATTTGTAAGAAACTAGCGAAGCAGCAGAATTTCTATGTTGGCTGATCTCAACAATCTCTAATCAAGGTCCCCTTTCTCGAGGTTTCCTTCAGAATTGATTTATCTTTAATTTGTTATGGGAAAGCCTTCTCCATTATAAACCCTTCACCAATTAATACAAATATTTTCAGATATCCTAATTCTTGGTACTTTGTTGTCCTTTGGCACTTAATCTAAAACTCTGTCTTGAAAGAATTCTTAAGTTTTCAGAGCCCAAAATGATATGAATGGAACAATATTATTTGTGAGGCCAATGAGTGTTTTTTAAACAGTTTAACCTGAGAAATAAAATTAAAAGCCTCCAGATTTTGTCTTCCCTACTTAGTGTCTCTTGGAATCCTGCTGAACGATCTCTTTCCTAACCCAACCCCTTACCTGGTTAGGATCTGCTGTTTGAAACATAATGTGAAGAGGAAACTTATTTTAACACTGTAAGGATCTGGGAAGTCTCATCACAGTAGAGGGCAGCTTGCGCCACCTGCTGGGGACATTAATAGTCCTTGTATCCTCGGCATGAGTCTAATTAGTTCACAACCTGACCACTTTTAGTATTTCTGATTGACGATTATTTGCCTTGAGACCCTTTGTCTTTATGTTTCAGAGAAAAGCAAAATATAACTTACCCTAGAGACAAAATAAATTTAAACCAAAATCTATAGCGTTATCCCAGCCAACATCTGCTCCTACCCCAAAGGATGTCCTAAGGAGTGGCTCAGATAATAGGCAGAGCTGAGAAATAGCTAATGTCTTTAGGGTGATCACAGTGGTGTGTGTGTGTGTGTGTGTGTGTGTGTGTGTGTGTGCGCGCGCATGCGCATGGTCCCACCAAACTGATGTCCTTCCCTCCCTCTCTTCCTTCCTTCCTTTCTTTTTTCATCTTTGTGTTTCTTCTATTTCTTTCCCTCTTTCCTTCCTTTGACCCGCTCTCATTCATTCCCCCTCTTCCTCCTCCTTCTCCATATTCTTTCCCTTTTCATCTCCCTTCCTCTCTTTCTCTCTTTCTCTAATGAACAAAACAATTTTTTGAGAATCTGATATGCATCCAGAACAAAAACTGTGAGCAAAATAGCTTTAGGTATATTCTTTTGTTGGCTAACTTCCCAAGTTTCAGACTCCTGCAGAATTCTGTGCTGTGAGCTGAGGAAACACAAGGAGCCGAATACTCAGTGTTCATGTGGTTCTTGGGTGCTGGGCTCAGAGTACCCTGTCACTAGCCAGTCTGTTGGGGTCTCTGCTCCCTAAAGAGCCAGAAAGGGTGCAGTCAGAGACCTGGGCCTGGAGGTTCCAACCTGGCCCTCACAACTTGTCAGTATCAGTTGTTTCTTTGAGCACTATCTGGCCTGCAGCAGTGTTGAGTCCCCCAAACTCTCTACTGTCTGCTGGATTCCTGCCCCCTCACCCCGCCCTTTCCCCCACACCTGTACTCCTCTCTGTCCCCCACCCTTGTACTGGGAGCACCCCTACTCTATGATGGTCTGGGCCACTGGTCTTCTCAGCTTGGTCTTCCCTCTCCTACTCTTGAGCCTTAGCCAGACCCCACCCAACCACCCAAGGATAGACCTCATTAGCTCTGTGCTCCTCAAGGAAGAGTTTAACAATGAATTGACTCTCCATGAATACCAGACCCACTGCTTTCTTTGCTTAGTTACAACTGGTTGCTATTCCAAACTCAATCTAGCTGATCCAACGGTGAGTACCTTAAATCCTTATTTTCTTCCTGATGTGATGGCAGTTTCCATACTGATGACTCTAGTAGGTTTTACTTGCAGGGATTTAAGAAAATTACTTTATCTAATCTGAATTGGAAACCCAGTGAACTAATTTCATAATCTCTGGGTCTGTTTCTTTATCAGAATGGGTTAGAATGCATCATAGGAGGTGATGAGTCTTAGGGTCACAAGTAAGACTTACTGTACTTTGTGCTCTCAGAGCAGTCTAAAAGTTACATTACTTTTTCTTTTTACTGTTATTGAATATAGGGGGAGAGTGATTGTGTCTACTCTTGACAGGTGTTTGAGATAATTCATATTTGAACATATCTACGTGAGAATAAAAAGTAGTCTCCTTTGTCTTCTATTTCTTTTGTAAAGTTATGAAAATAATTTTAAAACTGTGTTGACTATTACGTCTTCAGAGAAAATTGGTCAGATTTCTTTGAAGGTCTGTCCTAGCTTTTGAAATGATACCTACTATCGTGTGAGGCAAAGCAGGCAGTTTTGATCCTTTCTTACGCGAAGGTATAGATGGCACCAGAGCTGAAGTCCATCACGGTTGATTTAAACAATTATAAATAATTACCAAAGCAAATGAAATAAGCTAAAGTTTTAAAA